GATTCTCGGGGGCGCCGGTCGAGTTTGTAGCGCCGGGAGAGGGGCGAGTACTCTGGGTCCGCAAACACCACACTACGGTGACGTCGTCAGTGGACACGATCAACAGGGTGTGACCGAGAATGCACTGTCAGCAAGTGACGTCCTGGATAAGCCTTTATCTCGAGGCTGTTGCTGTGCCAATGGTGTTGATCTCTGGATCACAGGTGGTCACAATGTGGACTGGTGTGGGCCACTAGCCACTGACAAGGTGGCAGGGGAGGTAGTCAGCAACAGGGGTCTGCGATTGCGTACCGTCGGTACGATTCGGAAAAAGGTGTGATCGCCTGCGAGCCAACCTCAAGTAGACGAAGTAAACCAGCTTCACAATCGACCGCCGGGGCATCTACGTAACCGGGTAGCAGGAAGTTGAGGCAATATGGCCATTGCACGAAGTAATGAGATCGTTTTCATCCCTGAAGCGGCGTATAAGTACTCCTGTTCTTATATCGAGGTGACGATGGAGGACGACAACACGATACGAGGCAGGTATGCAACAGGGGTCAGTGGGACGGCCGAGGGACTTTAAGTATCAAATCGACACTGTGTCCGGTAGTCAAGGCGGAAGATAGGAAGGTGTCGTAGTCGAATAGTCGTAGCCTATAGGCGCTATCGTTCTTACAGCGAAGGGTTGATGAAACAAGGTTCCTCGTGACAGCCGTGTTGGTAGAGGAGGTCTATTGTTTCCAACATCCGTGCATGGATGGACTGCGACAGGCGCCTGGTTGAGTGGTAGCACCAAGCGTACAGGTAGACATGGAAACCAATCTGTAGAAATACATGGCACCCCTTGCCATGGTAAGTTGACCTAATTCCGGTCGGAGTTGTTGACAGTCCGAGTACTTGACACGTGACATGTAAATCACTCTGCGCAGTAGCCAAGAAAGCCGCATTGGAGTCGGAACTGAGGTGCAAACTCCACACACAGACAATCCTCAATGAACTGTGTGAGAGACGAACAAGTGGTGTACCCGAGTTTTGCGATAAAACACGGAACCCCCTGGGCGTCGTGGAAAACCCGGGGAGCGCCGAGGAAGAGTCTCTTTCAGGAACGCTGGCGCTAGGGTAGGGTAGAACAGCGTTGGTGTCGGCGATGTCGACGAAGTAAACTCTTTGTAAGTGGATGTCGTCGTCGAATCTGATACAGACGCTGTTCACATGACGCTCTGTTTCGATGGAAACCCGCAGGTCATCTCTCCGGAATCATAGCGCTTTAAACGACGGGATTATGGATAACGTCTCAGTGGGCAAGTTGAATCAGACCAACTGTCTATTGGTTGAAAAAGATTCCACCCAGGAAGTAGAACGATAGTCATGATCCCAAAGACCGACGGGAGAGTAGCGACAGGAGCGGCGACAGTTGTTTCACCATGCTTCTCCGTGTGACGAGTTTTATGAGACGGCATCAAGAGAAGAGGCCAGTGGCGCCGGGGAGGCGATTGCCGATGGTGCCCCTTAAGCCGCAGTAGAAGATCGGATAGTCGGCTCGTTGATCTGAGCTTGATAAAGCTTGTTGATCTGGGCGCCGGAGGTCATCTTAGGCGCCGGATATATCATAGGCGCTTCTTCCGTAACTCTTGAGGCGCCGGAGTAGTCAGAGGCGCCAGAGACATTAGAGGCGTCGAAGATCTTGAGATCAGAGACCTCAGAGGCGCCGGGAGCGCCGAAGACATCAGAGGATGCGGAGGCGCTGGAGCGCGGAGGCGCCGGAGACGCCGGAAGCGCCGGGAGCGCCGAGACATCGAAGGCGCTGGGAGCGCCGGGAGCGCCGAGACATCGGAGGCGCCGGGAGACATCCGAGACATCGGAGCGCCGGGAGCGCCGGGAGTGCCGGGACATCAGAGGTGCCGGGGACGCCGGGGGCGCCGGAGACATCAGCGTTGACGGTGTTGGAGACCGTGAACGGTCGTATGTCGTGCCAGGGGAGGCAGACTCTACGTTGAGAGCGCTGGAGCCGCCGGTGGAGTAGGAGACCGTGAACGGTTGTATGTCGTGCCATGGGAGGCAGACTCTACGTTGGGAGCCGCCGTTGGTGTTGGGAGCACTGCAAAGCTCCGCTGAGCGCTGCTGCCGTCAACTTAGGTGGGGGTCGACGAGCACGTTGAGCGAGGTGTGTCCTGGATACTCGCATGAGCTGAAGGAGCACAGCGACGAATGACTGCAACATCGGCACTGCCTTGTGAAAGTACAGGGCGTCGTACAATCACGGCAGAAAGGGGCGGCCCCGACCAGATTTGTTCCCGCGGCAACAAGTGCAGCGAGGCAGAAAATCTGGAATTTAAGCAAAACATAACTATGTGGCAAAGCCACAAAGTGCGGGAAGCATAATGTGATTCAGAAACTTTGTATTTCAATGAAGTTTATGAGATCAAACAATGGCGCTAAAAGGTAGCGAAAAAGCATAGCTTTAAGCAAACACATAACCATGTGGCCAATCACAAAGTATGGGAAGCATAAAGTAACTCAAAAACAGTATATTTTATTAAAGTTTATGAGATAAACAAGTACGCTAAAAGGTAGCGAAAAGGCAAAGCCTTAAGCAAACACGTAACCATGTGGCAAAACCACAGAGTACGGGAGACATAATATAACTCAAAAACTTTGTATTATATTGAAGTTTATGAGAAGAAACAATTACGCTGAGAGGTAGAGAAAAGGCAAGGCTTTAAGCACACCAAAACAACATACATAAATGTAATGAATGCATTACCCAAGCCAAAGAGAGAATTCAAAACGCAGAACACGACATTACGTGGCCACGTGGTGAATGGCCAAAATGGCGGGAAAGAAAACAAAATGGCGGGAACAACATTGCGCCCGTAAATTACTGTGACGTGAGCCACAGACGAGCGATAAACGTTACAATTTACGAATGGGAAGACCCTAAGGTCACGGCCCATAACAGGTAACAATGTAGCAGCATATAATGAATGTAGAAACACGCAAAATATAAAAAACAAATAATAAGCTTTAATTTCCACAAGGGATACAAAGTACGTCCGTCCGTGGAGGTGACAAAGCAGTTATGTCTTTTGGTGTGACGTCATGACTTCCGGGTCACGTGCCGACTGTGAGAGGGCGCTGCCTCCTGAGCTGGTTGGGACAACTTTCTTCAGCAGCTGGATCTCACACAGTTCGTCTCTCTGTCAAAGACAGCAGTAAATGCAATAGGGAGTAATGCAGGATAAGTTAAAAAATTAGTCTTAACGTTGTATGGCTGAAATATGACTGACTTTACCATGTTTACTAGTCTTCTTTTTATCTCAGTATCAAAAACACCTATGCTGAAAGGTTTCCCTTGATCTACTTCCAGTGACGTTTTGATTGAAGCTGGGCAAACAGCTTTATTTTCAGTCTAACCTGAGATACAGAACCCATAAAAAATAGCGCCAAAATAGATCCCACCATCACACACAAATATTTCGCCAATAGCTAAGCATATTTCGAATAGAGAACTTAATTACAATCACAGCATTTTTGTACTATTTTTGAGCTAAATACACTCCCCCTAGACCTGAAGGTTGACGCTGGTTGGAGTGGTGTTGGCTGACAGCAGTAACAACATGAGGAAACAGGACCTGAACTGACACATCCCATCTGCAGACAAGCGGGCATTTGCCCCATGTTTTCATTACGTCTGGTGGGAAGATGACTGATCGATACTGATATCAGGGACACTTCTCAAAAGTTATTTTAGCATCCGTCATTTCCCACAGCTTAACATTCATGGGTTCATATTTTCTGTTCATCACTGGCTGCAGACTGTCACAATATTTGTGTGAAGAATGCTTGATTTGCTTCCTGCTCAGCACAGTACTCAAGGGACATCTTACAAAGTTCAGTCGGGATTCTAGAATTAATTGGTATAAGCTATTTTTAGCAGTAATCATTACAAAATACGAAATCTTTCAAACACATACTTAAGCTGGCCACAGACTTTCATCTGTCATACTGTATTTGGGGACAGGGCATATATTATAAGGGGGAATGAGGATAGGGTGGGGGATGAGGATGAGAGATTGGTCTGAGGACTGTATCATATTTTGCCACCTTCCCCCCCACCCCCTCCCCACCATTTTCTGTTACAGTTTTTTTTCCATGCTACCAAAACACAATTTCATAATTTGAAAAAATAGAATTGCGTCATTCTTTCACACCCAAGTCCCCCTAGTGATAAATTTTGGCAACATCCTACCCCAGTCAATGTTGTAAATAAATAGGAGCCAGTGCCAGTGCCAGTGCCAGTGCCAGTGCCAGTGCCACAGCTGGACAACCATTCCTCTTGCAGCTCACAGGTTACTCCTGGTCAGCTAAATGGCCAGTTGTTGCCCAATGACAAGAACAGTAATAAATGTATCTAGACAACACTTCAGCAGGTAGTACCCTAAATATTGTATAAAGTGTCCATGGTTGACCACAGTATAGAGTAAGATGACACCCAGTCATAACATGCTGAACCTTCTAGACAGCCAATGAAGTGGCATGAAAACCACAATTACGTTGTTGGCACTGAGGAACTGTAGACCTGGTAGGAGGGACAAGGCTGGCTTTCTCCTTCCTGATACAGTCTCCTACATGTTAGTTGGGGCCAAGTAAGAAAGCATCATCTACAAACACAGTAATCAACTATTCTGCATTTCTCTCCATGCAATCCTGCACTAGTCTTCAAACTATGGGCAACTAGTGAAACATATATTGACAACCCTCAAACACCAGCCTACCAAGGGAATGTCTCGTCTGGATCATGGCGTCCAATGTTTGCATACTCATCTCACATCCTACTCATACTTGAATATCCTTTATCAACCAGTCACAGCTTGATAGCGGACCGAGAACACTTTCTCTTCCACTGAAGACACAGTTCACACACACACACTGTTTTTTTACGAAATCATAGATTTACAACCTCAAACAATCTCAGCATGCTCACTGGAATGATGTGATGAAAAAAATTTGTGACTCACCTAATGCTGTGTGTCCTTTTGTGTAGCGTAATATCTCACTGTGTGTCTTTGGAATGTCTGTATCAGAAGGAGGCTGATAGCGAGTGAAAGACATAAAACAATACCATTTGCACTTGTCCTTATTTCGTAAGTGTGATGTCATCAGTTCTTTGGCAAAATGGCTCCACAGGTCATTTCCAGACATAGCATATGCTTGTTCTGTCGTTAGCTTACTACGAAATAGATGACACAAAGGGGAATTGTCATCACCAGTTTCCAGCTGAAATGTCCGCCGCCCAAAACCATGTTCCTTCATCTTCTCTGCAGTGAATGTCTGTATCAACTGGGCTCCAAGTGTAATCCTCCGAATGGCACTAGTAGGTGAGCAATCTTCATCATCAGGGCCTTGAAAATAGCCATCATCATCAGACAACACAATATAAACTGGGCGGACAAAGTGGGCAATTTTGGGCTCTTCAAATATGAGAGACAACGTCAATACCTCATCCTCAAATTGTACACTAAGGATGTTCTCTCCAAGTTTCAGCTCCATAAGCACCTTAAAGCAGCCCTCAACCACGGGCCATTGGTAGCGTCGCCCTGACCTGTCACTGGAGTTCCACACATCCAGGACCCCATCGTCAAGACAGTCCTCAATTTCCCCCAGTAGAAGGATGATGTGATATGAGACCACCTCTCTGTCACCCACATTGTACACCTTGATCTTCATGTTTCTTCACCCTCGGCATCTGTCACGTTTGGGGCGCCATCATCTACAACACAACAAATGTTATACCATTAGCTACACCCTCTCTATGAGTGTACAAGCTGGAAAAGTAGATTGAAGTCTTAACATGGATTATTCTTAGCTGAGCTGATCCAAAGAAACGTTACCAGACTGTTGGGCAAAGTGGTTGACTCAACAAGTCTTCAGCACATGCTGACTACATATATTCACTTCTTCTCAACATCTATGTCCCATGAGGATGTCACTATCTACAAGGAAGCACCAGCATCTTTGACACCAGCCAAGCAGTCATTGAGCTCAAACTTCAGATATTAATCGGATTAGCAGATCAGTTAGTATTTTCAGTATATGATGTAACTGTAAACCATGTTGCATAACAAACAAGTCTGCTATGAATGTCATTAATTACAAATCTGCAAATGCACAGTTACTACAAACACACTCCTGCTATTAGTGATGAATACATAGTTTTGAAGCCTGCAGAGCAATGAAGGGGACGAATCTAAGCTTAAATAAAGAACTGTTGGACATTTGGCATGTCGTCAGATACATACTTCTACTTTAATGTCATGCAATAATACTGGTGCTAATATTACTCTTCCAAGTCTGACTCAAAGAATTTATACCTATTTCCCTTGAGAAATGCAGCATTGACAAATCAAATTTGACAATGGCATTTACTCTTAAACCTAAACTTTATAACTTTAACCATTATATTGAGTATCAATGAAAGTCCTCATCTGTTGAAATAAACTTTGAATAAAATAGTTTTCCTTCAAACCAAATCAATCTTTAATACTAGCTGCGCTACTTGAAGAAATTATCACTAAATTGCAGATGCATAATCGGGCAGTTAAGACAGGGTGTCATAATTCGACAGGATGACATTCACAGTGAAACTGGACTGAGGAAATCCCCACTATCTGATTATCAAGTGTGATCAATACAGGTCTATCAACTGCTCCCCATTATATAAACCATAGTGGGGCAGCTAGAGTACAGCTCTATGTAGTGACTGCCAAACATCTTTGCCATCTCTGTTGTTGAAAGATTGATTATCTGCATCGGAATATCATCTGGCCATTTTCTCTGATGCACTCGGAGAGAAGTATGTATTATTTGAGTATGTAATTGAAATGACTTGACAAAGTCCTCCTCCTCCTCCTCCACTGCAGGCTGTTGCAGCCACCAGGCTGCTGTCCTGTGCACCCCATGCACCCCATGCACCACGCTTGGCAGGCCTTATTGAACTGATCACCTTCACTGAGTATGTTATGTCTATTCTCATGCATAGTAAGTTGAAGTCAAGTTATATGTAGATTGTATCTCGGTATTTCTAGAAAGTATTTATCCTTTGAACATGTTGAATAAATATCTCACATCACTAATTACATCTTCTGAATATGTCTCTCAAATGGTTGCATGTGGATAAATTCATGTCAGCCAAGCCAACTCCTTTATCCAAACAAGATCTTTTGCCGTTCAACTGCTCTTCAGGTGTAATGAAACTTGAACATAAATTGTAGTCAAAGGTGACGCACAACAGTAGTATTTTGAGGCGTCATTATGAATGCCTATGATGTAACAGTGACATAAGAGAAGTAAAACGTAGTCCTAGGCGACAGTCCATGTTATGTGTTTGACGTCATGAAGCCTATGACGTCATAGCTAGTGATAATAGAGGGAGGCATGAATACATTATGGTGTGAGTGCACAAATACACAATGAGCTATGGGGAAGTTTTGAAAATTATACTTTTGAAATAAGTTTAGGGTTCAAAAGGCTAATGAACATCTGTCCTTTTTCCATTTATAAATGTTTAATTGTAGTTGTTAAACAATTTATAAAACAGAAAGACAGTGTTCATTTGGATATCGAATTTGCCATCAGCGATCAGGGATTCGGTCTTTTAGCATGTTTAATTGTGCAAACCAATTTCTCGACGATTATGCTCATCACATCCCGCACATGATAAAACATATATAACATCTCTACTGCGGCAGTTCATTTTCTTTTTAACAGTAAATAGTTTATCTTCGCAAATTGATATTTGCAGTCTTCAATTATAATTGGGCAAGTTCCACATCTAGGTGTGTGATATTTTGTTACACTGACAGTATTTTGTATTTTGTGAGTACATATTTGGATGGACAAAGAATTTGTTTGAGATTATTAGGCTGTCTAGTAGCGCTGGGACAGGTAACCCAGGTACCCAGGTCATCTCCTGAGACCTACAGTGGGTACCTGGTTAGGTTCGGGTAATAGGGGAGTCAGTACCTGGGTAGTAAATTTGGACTCGTCCCAGCCCTACTGTCTAGTGCTGCGTATAAGTTTACGCTTAGATAAACATTTTTTCATCCTAAGTTTTACTTTGCTGTAAAATTGGAAGATTGGCTTTGATAAGGGGTATACTTTTACAGTAACTAGGTACATACAAATGGAAGAATGTCCGTGTCTGTATCTGTTTCTTTTGTTTTCATCAATGTTTCTTGTGGAATTTTCATTGCTTTTTTACAGCATCTCCAACTACCTCACAAGAATATCCTTGTAGTTGGTGATACTTCATTAATTCTTCTTATCTTTAGTTTCTTTTGTCCACATCCAAAACAATAGTACACTCTCTTTTGCCATCGAATATGGAATATTAATTTTAGTGTGCAGCGGATGACATGAATTGAATTGGAGGTATTGATGCGTGTCTGTCTGTTTGTGGTAAATATCCATCTTCATTTGGTCTCCTTGCTTTATTATTTTCACGTCCAAAAATGAAATCTCATTGTGGTCACATTCAACAGTAAATGAAATCATAGGATGGATCGAATCCACAATCTTCCGGAAATTGTCTTACTCCACTGTACTCCAATTATTCTTCCACTGTTGAGAACCAAATAATAAAACAGTCATCCAGATATCTTTTCCATGTTTCACAAATAGGTTAAGCTGTATTTACATCCATCGTTAGCTTAAACAGCCCTATACTTAATGTTTACAAAAGACAACACAATGTTTTGACGATGCTAAGCGCCAATCTTCAAATGGCACATATTACACATGAATAACTGTCTCACGAATTATTTATTATCTATAAACATCCATTTTATTCAGAAATGTCGGGATAGCGTGTAACACTAGATGGTGTTCCCTCATCAGTCTTTCCGTGTTGACATCAGACTGATGGTCTTCACTCGGTAGATCTTCCTCACTTTCCTCGCTGCTGTCAAGACTCAACGAAAATTCAACGTTAATATCGATGGCATTGTCAGGTGATGCCATGGCAAAGGCTAGTAATCTACCAAAATCTATACAGAAACAGTGTATGTCTGCAAGTCAACTTTCCACAATGACGTCCATCTTCCCGAGGCAAGGGAGTTAGCTGACTCTAAAAGTCTATAGTTTCCACCCTTGCAGAACTAGGCTGGAATTACTCAGCCCAATCATAGCAGCACCAGTGGCTATTACGAGTTATCTCCCTTCTATGCCCTTCCTATTGACCAATCAGATTCCACCTTACATATCACTTAGCATTTGCTTCAAACTAAATGGCGGCGCCGAGTCAAGACATCTGATCGATGATCAAGATCTGTATTGTAATGTAACGGGTCTTACCATGCTTATCTCGCAAAGTGCATCACATCACTTGAGCACCTTTATGAAAAACATGAAAAGAATGGGAAAATATCTGTCGATGCCAAATTGACTGTACACATGCCCTGAAAATCCTGCAATCGAACAAATTCGGCACAACAGTTGCGATGTTATTTATGAACTGGATGTCGTTGTAGTTACAGAATTTTGATTGGACTATGCATAGACTCGTTAGTCCAGGCAAAATATAATTCCAGCCTAGTTCGGCAAGGGTGGAAACTGGACTTTTTCAGTCAGTTAACTCCCTTGCCTCGGGAAGATGTATGACATCATATCATGTGATGACAACTCTGCTCAACACTGTGCTGAGTAGGTTTTAAATTTTTTTTGTCACAATATTGCCTTTATTTCCTTCAAGATACCTGTTTTAAAAAGTTTTTTAAATGATTTAATTCCATATTTATATCTTACTGTAAATCTCATTGCAGGGCAATACCAGTTTTGATCACTGCAAGGCACAGGGTTGTTTTAAGGAAGGTCATGTCACCTTTTCTCAACCAATGAAAATACAGATAAAACTTGTATATGTATGAATTATCAATTATTGACCATTTATCAGGGCAATATCATGTTTTATGGACCCAATACTTAGATATTGACCGAGGCCAGAAACATGATACTGCCAATAATTGTCTTATAACAGAATTAAAAAAAAGAAGAATATTTCAAATTCGATAATAACTGAATCAGAAGTTACAGGAAGTCACTGGGGATGATGCACTTGCATTTCACTCTCGCTGAGTGACTGAAAATATTTCTCTCCTTTGAGTGTCTTGGCTTAATCACAAGGGGAAATACCACTTTCGATGGCTGCACATCAGGGGGGTCTCAGGGCTGCACTGTGTATGTACATAAACATAACACCTGAAATACAACGAAGCACACCGAGATTTAAACACCATACAAGACACACACATCGTACAGAATTGTACTGTACATAGGCTTTGGCGTTACTGTTAACCTGGGACGCTGCACTGTCCTGCACCCAATTTTATTACCAGCTTAATTTCATTAAATGAATTTATATAATTGGACAGATTCCCTAGTCACTTCCTTGAGTGGCAACTGAAACTGTTCGATCATCAATGAACTTGATTACAAGTAACACAGAACAAGCAGGACACGCACACTGATATTGTCTGGAACGCTCAAGATGAATTTGAAACCATAAAAAGTTACTTAAAAACCAGCAGCATTTAGACGGCCAAATTCCATTCACCACACTAGACGTCAACATCGTGACATCACAATGACGGAAGAATTAGCATCAAAATACTGAAGACGAACAAGGTTTACTGAAATAGACCACCTGCTTAGCTGCAGCTAACAGTGAAATTATACCTATGGAATTGGTGAGGGAGGGAGAACCAACCATCAGCT